AAGCAGGCACAGGAATTACCTGGGAGCTTCTCCTGATTTTCAGTTCATTTCCAACTGAGAACATGTGAGAAGTGGAAGGATCTGCCATGTCCTACCCAYGAACTTTTCCGAGTGTATTTTTTACAAACAGTAAAGGAAAAAATGAAAGACAAAAATCCAAATTGAAAGCAATACTCARTTGCTGGGAACCTGTTTGTAAGTGTTATGTCATTAATTATATCAGCATCAACTTAGAATTAAAAATTCAGGAAAAAGTAAGATTAAAAGAAGGAAAGAAGAAAACTTTGGGAAACACAAAACTCACAAGGTTTTCCTTACTTAATTAAAGAATGGTGCTGTCTGGCATTGCCAAGCTCTGCAGTGGCTCTGGCATGTCTGATTTTGCTTTAAAATTCTGATTTTATTTTTGTTTCGTGAAATTCATTGTTCATGGTTAAAAGGTTCTTTTTCCTAAGAGATTCRTCTCCTATTTTTATGCAGATGAAAATGATTTAACTTGAGATGGTTAGACTCATGAATAAAGCCCAGAGACATTTAAAAAAGAGGGTGCAGAAAATTGGTGCAGTCCATCTCCAATTTAACAAACCATTAGAATCTTAGTGTAAGGTGCATAACTGGATGTTCTTTTAGTTGTAGGCTAGATTATAAACATTATTAATTAATTAATTTTTTTTTTTTTTTTAAGAATTAATAGATCCAGGCCAGTTTGTTCTGGTGAAAATCAGCACAGGGCAAGACTGAGAATTCAGAATTTTCAGTTAAGCCTCAAAACACATTAATAAAGGTATGATCTTGATAAAAAAAAAAATGTTCATGCATAGATAATGTATGCATGTTTTAGACTGCTCTGAATTTCTGGTAGTAACTGTGGTTATTGCACAGGGAACAGTAATTTGTCCAAACCAAACCATAAATAATTAAGGGCAGGATTTCAMCATCGGATCTGTGTGGGTGGATTTTTGCACCCCCGCGGATTCGATGGCAGGATCAAAGCTGAGGAAAGCCAGAAATACCCTCAGAATGTGAGCACTGCTCAACACCCATCACCTGACATTTGCAGGGCAGGGAAGGGTTTGCTTTCACCACCCCCTCCCACCAAACCCTGGCATTTCCGTCCCTCAGCAGCCAAATCCCAAATTCCCAAATTCCCACCCCGTCCATCCCTCCCAATCCCAGCAGAGCCAAGCAAACCCAAAACTGGCATTTGAGTTTCACTTCTGACTTTCTAACAAAAAAAGTTCAGCCTAAACCCCTCTTCTCAACCTACATATCAAGCTTATAATATAAGCTCGCTCTTTCTTTTTTTTTTTTTTTTTTAATTTTTTTTTTAACTTCCTAAAAATTCCTTTTGATTTCAGCTGTTCTGAAAGTAATCAGAGCAAAAGAGCAAAACTCCACCCGCTGCTGATATTTGTGGTGTGGGGTAGGGGCAGATCTGCTGCTCCTGCTGAGGAAATCACAGATATTTGTCACACAAAAAGTCACTCAGTGCYATCAAACACCCTCAAAACAAAGTTTTTCTTGATACAAGAGAACTTGTAGAAGTAACGTTTGGGAGTCTTGACTGAAATCATCACCAAAATACAGCTCCCATTCATGTGGAATAAAAGGGAAAACACTGCAGCTGACATTATGGACAGAATCAGCCCAGATGATGTTCCCTGCTTGCCTTAATTTGTGGGAGAAATTCAAAGCTTATCAACAATTCAGCTGATTTCCATGGAAACAGGATTTCAGCTTGTGAATCGAAACTGCACGAGGGCCAAAAGTGCCAAACACAAATTATAAAAATATTTTTCCACATTGGGATCCTTAAGGTAAGGGGCAAATAGTTAAACAGGATAGAAATAATGAATTCATGAATGATTTATTTTTCAGCATCCACATTATTATTTTTTTTTGTATGGTGCATATCCACCTATAGATGCCTATAGAAATATGGTGCATATGCACGTATACAAATTTTGAAAATTTCATTAAATGCCCTGAATATCAACATATTTTCATGGTTTTAATATCTCTAATAACTTAAAAGCAGAAAGTATGTGGAGAACACACATGAGCATTTAGTTTAGCACCTCACCCCGGGCCAGTCACGATCTGGACTTAAACTCTGCTTAAATTCTGTCAGGGGGAACAGATAAACACACTTTTACTGAGTATCCCAGTGGAAACATTACCAATAGCATTCTCTGCTTCAGAATTATCACTGCTCCTGAATACCCACAAAAAAAGGACGATTACTCCCCTGGAACACTTTGGGAGTGATTTCTCTAAGCAAACAATGCTCACTGYTGTACTTTTGTCTCTGGCTCTTGCAATAAATAGTTGTAGAAATATTTGGCATTGTCAGTGGTAAAGCTATGCAAGAACCAGATTATTTTGTAATTTTCAGTATTTCAGTGGAGGAGGTTTTACAGTCCTCTTTCAGTTTACACAATTTTTCATAATCCACAAAACAAACCCAAAAGTGCAAATACCCRGTGCAGCCCCAAGGATACAGAGCAGCATGTGGTGTTCTGCATTATACCAAAACTGCTGAATTTTTTAACATCTGACTGTCTAGGAAGAGCTGTTTCAGATCACATAACTGGGAAAAATTTTAATTTCTCTATAAAGATTGTGCTGTGTTAAGGATATGGCACAGCTCATATTTTAAATTTATGAAAATAGGAGAGAAAGTTTAGCAACTTCATTTTTCAGCTCTTAAAATAATGAACARATTCTCTTCCCAACTGAAGAATTGCAAAAAAAGAAGAATTTAATGCAACATCTTTAATTTAAATTACTGGGAGTCYTTCCATTCCATCCTATGAAAATTTTATCTGGCACATAGGTGGTTGTTAATTTATTTTTTTTTCTTCCAAACATCTTTACTATTTGATCAGATCTTTGCGATGGTTGAATATCTATCCATTAACTTCTCCATTTTATACCCAATTTTCTTTTTGAATAAATAGCATGCACTGAGGATATAAACTGAAATATAGAAGAATACTTCARAATAGTGTATTTATTCTGCCAGGGTTTATTTATTCTTTCTACATAACCCTGAAACCTTCAAAGCACTCCCAAAATAAAACAGCAATGTTACATGGAACTTTTGAAGTCAGGGAATCATGGTTTCCTAAAGATAGCTTCTAATGAAAGCCAGGAGYTTTTTTACACCACCTTTACTGATGCAATTATATTTAATCACTCTTAAGAGTCAAGATTTTTAGCAGCTAGATGAAGTATACTGGATTAGCTTAATAGCCATAYCTTCCTCAGACTTTTTAAAACCTGTTTTTCTTTCCACTGAAGCAGAGAGCGAGGGGATTGGAAACTTCCAGTGATTCTTTTGTAGMCTAAAGTGGTTTAACTKTGTCTGCTCATATAAGAAGACAACTCTAATTCTCACGGGTCAAGAAAGAGAACAAACAAAAACTTACATTCTCTCCCTACATCAGCCAGAAGCACATATTCTCAGAAAGGAAACAGGACAGAAAACATTAGCTGCTGCACCAAAATATACAGGCACAGAATAAAATCCTTCAGGAAACCTGAGACCCAAATCTCTTCAAAGTTTTATGAAAAAGAGAGCTCTTGCGTTTAGAGCTAAACTGGATGAATCCATCACTCGACTCAATACCCCAAGGAAAATGTRGCACGTACTATATTAAGTTAATAAAAAACAAACAAATGTACAGCTAATAAGTCTGAAAATTCAAACCTTAAGTTCCTCATTATAAAAGCCACAAGTGACTTTCTAAGCAGGACTACCCAAACCGCTGCGCTGCGTCCCTCGGGACAATCAGTTTTCCTTCTCGTCTTCTCTGCCTCTTTTGTACTGATGTATAAAAGTTTAGTTGTCTGGGGCTCGAGCACTTTCAGGCAGCTTTGAGCAGTCACCAGCCCGGTGATGAGCTGACCATAGGTGATGAAAGGACAAGGTTAACTCACAGTTTTGGAGTTAGTGCTGGTGTTTCATGTGCCACATGATGAATAACAACATGAGAGGCCCCTATTCTTCTGAAACAGAATTGGCTTTTCTTTAGAGAACGGCGTAGAGGAAGACAAAAAAATGGGGTGACGTTCAGGTCATGCTCAGATTGACTTCCTGGTGCCTCTTTCAAAGCAGATCTTCCTCCTTTTCCTCTCTGGGAACCGCACATGGGTCACCCCAACCTTCACTGTGTCACCCTGTGGTTCTCCCTGTGAGGCTCCAGGTGGACACAGCCCCACTGCCCAAACCCTTCCCACTGCCCAAACCCTTCCCACAGCTGACCCAAACCCTTCCCAC